AAACACATTTTGTTTTTTGTTTTTTTTTTCTAGTACTGCCAAGATAGCATTACTGTATGGCTCTTTCTAAACCTTTTGTTTCTTTCCTTTTCTGTCCTAATAATACACTGTCTCCATCACTATCGCTGATATTTTTTTATGATTGGCAAAATTTATTTTTCAAACTTAATTATTTTTTTCTGTTAAAATGTCATGGTTAGTCTTAATCCTCTATTTCCTATTCTCAGATCTCTTTTTTTTTTTTTTTTCTTTTTTTTTGTTTTTCGAGACAGGGTTTCTCAGTGTAGTCCCAGCTGTCCTGGAACTCGCTCTGTAGACCAGGCTGGCCTCAAACTCAGAAATCTACCTGCCTCTGCCTCCCAAGTGCTGAGATTAAAGGCGTGCGCCACTACTGCCCGGTTCAGATTTCTTTATAAACTTTCAAACTGGTCTCTCTGGCAGTTCTCACTTTTCTTGAAAAAAAAATTATTTAATCTCATTTGTGTGGTTTGTGTGTCCATGCAGTGTGCATACCCACCTGTGTTTATGTGCACCATATGTATGCAGAGGCCAAAAGAGGGCATCAGATCCCCTAGATACGGAGTAAGAGGCGTTGGTGAGTTTCCCAAGATGGCTGCTGTAAGACCTAATCCTCCACAAGATCAGCAAGTACTGTTAACCACTGAGCCACCCCTCCAGCACAGAGAGTGGTCTGTCTGATTTCAGAATTGAAAGCCTTCCTCTGAGTCTGTCAACTCTTTGGTTTCTTCCATTTTTTTCTCTTTATCCAGTTTCCTTTTAATTACTTGAAAATGTGCAGAAATTATTTAATAGCAGAATAATATTTTTTTTATTTTTCAAGACTTCTCCCCCCAACCCCTCCACACACACACACCTTTTGTTTCTGCTGAGAACCTAGGCACTAGTAATCTAAAATCATGTTGATGAAATGTCATTCAGGCACTCCAATTTCCTGGCCCTTCTAATGGAGTTCAAGGTAACTTCAGACTGTTAATTCTCTTATTTCTTGTCCACTCTTACCCCTAAAGTTCATCCCTTCAAAGTTCCAAATGTGGTTTGAAGTTACCAGAGTTCCCGCTTACTTCGTGAGTGGTCCTGAAAAGTAAATTCGTTTTTTGGTTTTTTTTAAACCAGCATTCAGCTAAATAAAATTCAAAAAGATTATTATAAAAACGGTATGCTTTGAAATACTGATGATTTAAAAACTCATGCTTAAAAAAAGTCTTCGTGAGCCAAGATCACTGGGATGTAGTACTACAGCACATGTCAGTGGCATCCAGTCTCCAAACGTTACTAAGTTTTCTATATCCTTATGTTTTAATGAACTGTAATGTGGATTACTGTAAGATTTATAGTAAAAGTCACTATGTTTATTTGCTGTTTTCTCCCAGAGTATTTTTCTGTTTTATATATCCTGAAGCAGAGTTAGTAAGTGCACTTACGGTTTGTTTAAGAATGGCGGAGTGCTTACTTTTCAGGAGGATTAGAAGGGTTAGAAAGTTGGAGTTAGATATGGCCTTGTGAGAGAAAGTGTCACTGGGGGTGGGCTTTGGCCAGGTCGTGTGTGTGTGTGTGTGTGTGTGTACTCACATTTGTGTTTGCCTTCATATCAACATGTAGCTCTCAACTACAATGCCATGCCTGCTCCCATACTCCCCATCATAATGATAATTCACTGAAATGAAACCACGCCTCTAATTAAATACTTTCTTTTATAAAACTTAACTTAGTCATGGTGTCTCTCTTCACAGCAATATAACAGTGACTAGCACTGTAAATCTAGTTTGTTTTATTTTCCTGTTATATTGTGTTTTATCATTGTGAAGTATCTCTTTGTGCCTTGAAGTCTTCTCTTTAGCAATCTCGGCTTTCTTTTTGGCTGGTACTCTCAAGGAGTAATTTTTCAGTCTCCTTAACTTTGAGTCTTTACATAGTCTCATTTTTAGGTACTTACCTAGTGTATACCACACTTGCTTGGATTTGGTGGTCAGGAGGTGTTGATAGACTCTTCCCCAGATAGTTGTTCTCGAATCTGTGTGGTTTGGCAGGCTCTAGCTTTTCTCTGACATCTGGGCAGTATCTCTTCCAGTTTCTACACTGTTCTCACCTTCCTTTTTATAGGCGTGTTTTATATGGACATTTTCATTTCTCCCAAAATATGTTTACTAATTTTTATGTTAAATTCTTAATTAAAATACATCTTGGTTTCTGTTTTCTTAAATGATATGCATTATTTTCTCTTAACTAGTGTTTTTTTTTTTACTTTATTAAATTCTACATGTTCACACAAAATAAAACTAATCTTGATCATTACCTTTGGCAAATTACATATTTCCCAAACAGCAGTATTTCCAAAGCCAAATACTCATGTAGAAGATTGCCACTCCCAACCTCTATTTAAGTCTTCCATGATTGGGTCAGAGCACCTTTGCTGCCTTGCTCTGATCCCATTGCATGTTGTATCTCTTGAAACGTTCACTCTTAGAAACAGTTTGTGAAGACACCCAGAGACTCCCATGTGAGAAAGCTGAGGCTGTTAACAGCCTCAGTCATCAGATTTGAGTGAACAAGCTTGTAAAGTGATTTCAGTCTAGACTTCATAGATAGTGTCTAGCCATCCTTCCCTGTGTCAACATGCCAAGTCCATGGACATACTGTGGTAAGTGCTAGTTTATATTATACAGGTATCAACTTTGTTATCTCAAACTTATATTTCATCACACATTTCTTTTACATATTTTACTCTGTTATATACTACAGCATCTGAATTCTACAAGACAACAGTCAATACTTGTATTCTTAAACATCTGGATAACTTTCTTTAGTCTTTTTAATGTCCATTAATACATTGAAAATATTTATTCTGGGCTGGAGAGATGGCTCAGTGGTTAATACCACTGGCTGCTCTTTCTGAGAATCCAGGTTCAACTCCCAGAATCCTCATGGCACCTCATACCTGTGTGTAACTACGGTTCTAGGGTATCTGGCTCCCTCACATAGACATACATCCAGGTAAAACACCAATGCACATTAAAAATGGAATCTTCTGAAAGAATTCTAGTATCTCATGGCTTCCATGTTTGCTGTTGAAACATCTGCAGAGCTTGTTTCCCAGCTAAATTATATGTATGACTTCCTAGTATGGACTTTTTAGTTATGCCCTGCGCTTAGATTTCTCTGTCTATTGCAGCCAACCATGTTGTTTCACCAGCTTTGAAAGTCTAGTTTTTAAAAGATTTTAAGAGGTTTAGATGTTACATAAAGCTCACCAGTCTCTTGTTTTGGAACCTCATTTGGTACATCAGCTAACAATGCTATGTGTTCGCTGCAGCTTTGTGTTAATACCTATGTTATTATATTCTAGATCTAAGAATGCTCATTAGCACTAACTCTCCATTTAAAAGGCAGCCTTACCTGACTTTACATAAATTCCTGCACAGAAATTTAACATAGTCTCACATGAACAAGGCAAAATTGTGAGTCAACCCTCAGAAATTCGAGTTCAGCAAATTAAAGGGAAGCTGAGAAGGTAGCTTACTAAGTAGTTGACTGGAGCTCCATACAAAACAGAACAACCAGAGAGTTTAAGACTTCCAGCATCAAAACTGAGAATATATATTCTTTTTATTGTCACATGAGTGGCCAAATTCTCCCTTGGTCTCCTATAGCCGTTTTTCTGAGTCCTAATCTCTTAGTAGCATCTTTATAAGATGTACAAGCTAAGAGAATCTTAATCCATTCTAGCCTATTTGTTTTGTTTGTGTTTTTTTAGGTTAGAAAAATAAGCTAAATACCCAAGTAATTAGAACCAAGAGTAGAATATAAACCATATCATTTTGTTGGATTTTTTTACAAGACTAGTCTTTTATTTTTTAAGATTTATCTATTTATTTGATATATGTCAGTACATTGTCGCTTTCTTCAGACATACAAGAGGGCGTCAGATCCCATTACAGATGGTTGTGAGCCATCATGTGGTTGCTTCGAATTGAATTCTGGAAGTGTAGTCAGTGCTCTTAGCTGCTGAGACGTCTTTAGCCCCTCATTTTGTGTT